AATAAAGGAGAACTTAGTTCTGATTTGATAGTCACAAGATTATAGTCTGAGCTTTTTATAGCAACTTTTATTTATATGGTATTTCCAAGCAAGACTTTTATCATGCACTGATTTTCCTTCATCTCCATTTGTGGAATTCTGCAGAAGGGAAGGTATGCAGACACCACAATTTTCACTATAAGCATAACCTTCCCATGTTTTTCTATACCATTTCGTCCATCTTTTTTTTCCTATGAAAGAAAAGAGATCAAAAATCCCACACAAAACTTTTGACAGCAGCTGTTGGGGACATCTGTTTGCAAGTACCCCTTTTCTCATTCACACAAATTCTTCTTCATTTATATTTCAGTTTTACTAAGTACAGTCATTTTCATTCAAGCATAAAGTTCGATATGCAGTTTACATTGTCCTGTTTCAAGAAACTTGAGTTTATATCAGTTTAAAATTAAGATGAAAATATACTTTTTAAAGGGGAGAAAAACCCCAAAGACTGCCTTGCCTAAATAAAGTATACCAGTTTTAAACTTTTGCCAAAACAACAACATCAACAACTATGAAAAACTGCAATTTTGTCCAAAAGTCCACTCCTTACATTTTGAAGATATATAGTATGTGGCTTTTGCTCTAGATATCCAAAGAGATTACTAGAAATGCAAAAATATGAAAGAATTGTCAGTGTTTTTGAAAATCAAATAATCATGTGTGCAAATAACCTCTTAAATGCATGCTGCTCAAATGATCTATCTGTTGTGGTTTGCCGGCAGCCAGTGCGGATGGCAGAGATATTGGACAGTGAGAAAGAAAGGGGACCAGGCAGGGAGTCTGGAGAGGACTTGGACGAGGGTCCTGCATCCGATGCAGGGATGGGGCCAGGACCATCTGAGAGTGGGGTGCTGCCTTCAGAGCTTTCGGAGTCTGGCAGCAGCAAAGCAGAGGACCCTGGGGAGCCTGTTCCCAGTATGCGTGTGCGCAGAGCTGCTAGAAGGCGAGAGCAGCTGAAACAGAAGAGGCAACTCAGGAGTAAGGCTGGGAGGTGATTGCCCCTCCCATCAGGGATAAAAGTCAGTCCTCAATGTTGAAGAGCTTTGCAGGAAGCAAAGCAGTTCAGTAATTTCCGAGTCCTTCATGAAGCTCTGTACTCTGGTCAGTTTTTTTTCTAGGTTTTTGGGTTGGTTTATGTTAGCCTTAATTGGGTGTCTGTTTCTTGGCAGCATTTGACAGCACTGAAAAGCATGCTCTTATCTGGACGAACTGTGTATAATGAGTTTTGGCTGGGAATGCAAGTAATTCCAAGCATCACATTAAAAAGGTTTTATTTTTAAATTCAGCTTGTATTTGATGAAGCCTGGGTCAGAACACTATCCAGGCTCAAAGGATGAAGTCTACATGAATTCTATAAATACTCACTGGCTATATTCACCAGCAATACCCACCAGCTAATTAGTGGGAAATCTTCACCAGGTGAGGATCTTCCACCAATGAAACAAGTTGACCAACATGGGAGAGACATGCACCAATGTGGCTCGAGAAATCATACAACTGTTCTCTCATTACAAGAGGCCTTCTTACAGGCCTCCCCTAAGAAGCACTGCAGGTCTGCAGATGATTCAGAGGTAGTCAGTCATGCCTTTGTGCTGACGATTTGTTGAATGTGTTAGAAAATATGTGGTGACCGATAACTGCTACTCCACAGTTGGAAAATTGTCCATTTGAACATTATGAATTAGGACTGTGCATGGTTTGCAAATGAGTCACAGAAGTGTTTCAAATCTGCAAGTCCAGCTCATCTCTGCTATTCATTGAAACAGTCGTGGTTTTCTCTTCCTCTTCCTCCTCCGCCTTTTGTTATTGCTAAGCTTCTACAAACTGCTTTAAGAATCACATTAATCATCAATACATTAAAGCAACTGTACTTTTCTTTTTTAAAAAAAAAAAAAAGCACGGGTACTGGAATTGACACAGAGAGAAACTGAATTCATGCAAGGTGCTGAAAAGCATTTCTGAATAAATTAGAAAGTATAGGCTGCCATAATTGCTTTCTGAGTTGTTTGTTTATTTGATTGAATATAATTTCAGTTTCTAGGGGTACCCATTCATAAACTCTCTTCCCTCAGTGGGGACAGGGAATAGATCCCTAGTCTTAAACCAGTGTAATTATTTCCCAGGTATATCAATCAATATGGATAATTCTAAAACCGTAATCTTCAAATCCTTCCAGATTGCCATTTTTCAAGAGAGCTAAATTTTTAAATGTTGGCTAGTTGGCAAAACTATCTCTGGAATTAAAATGTAAAATGTAAAATTAAATTGTAAAATGCTTGCTATTCATGAGTGCCAAACAATTTCAATGCATCCAGAAGAAAAATCTGAAAAACTAGCTCCCAAATACAATTAGCAGAATTACTTAATACCAAAAATATCTTCATACAACTAAATACAACAATTTTTAGTGGAAAGAGAAAGTATCATAAGCTAGCTTCTTACTCTGAAAGATTGATGTCTACAAATTTGAGTTTAAGAAAAGAAAAACATAGGATCTGCTTGCATAGCCAATTCCATCTATTTCATGTATTAACTTACATACTCACAGTGCCATATTTTTATGTTTCTCATAAAGGCTCTGAGTGACTGACAATCAGAAAAAAAAAACATAAAAGAATACTTCAGTAAAAATACTACCCTCTCTTAACTCAACATTTATTCAGTCATGTACCTGTCATTTTGAAAACATAAAAGGGAAGTTGGTAGTTTGGAAACAGCACTGACTGGAAGGGAGTCTTTGCAAATCAAGATGAAGTTTTGCAAAGACCTTGAGATTTTTCTGTCAGATAACACCTAAGTATATTTATGCTGCAAAACAGGTTTCTTTTACTAATACCATACATTGCTTTTTAGAATGTTAAAGGGAGGAGATTGCTAATAACCTAATATCAAAAGCAAAATCCAGGGACACTTGAATCAATTCACTGTTGTTATGATTCCAATCTTTGTCTCTATTCTCAAGATTAAGTGAATTATCCATTGGGTGATTTAATGACTACTTTGCAAGAACTATATTTAAAATGTTAGCAAAATGATTGATCTGTTGTTCTACATTAATTTTTGCTTCTTACTCCAAGTCACTGACTTCATGCAAAACCTATAGATATACAGTATTGAAGCAAAGTAGGCCATGTGACTGAGTCTAATTTTCTACTCCAAAATGTTACTTTTCATTCATTTGTGATGAGGGGCCAAACCAAAGGCTTGTGCCTGTGATACTGGAGGGTCCAGGCAATGGGTTTCCCAAGGCCACTCAAGAAGCAAGGCTGTTGAAGAATGCCAACTTGGTTAAATGACAAACTAATATGTGCCCAAAGTTCACATTTATAGCTTTTCATTTGCACAGTGGTTTTTATTTGATGCTTCTTTGCTCGTAGGACACTACTATGCCACTAAATCTATGCTTACATTTACAAAGACACTTGTAAGAAGAAATCAAAAAATATCTTCCTCATTAAGCCCTTGGTTTTCAAGGAACATTCCCATTTAGGGTAAATGGGAACTGAGTGGTAAAAGTGGTGGAAACTTTTCATCAAGACTATAATATGGAGGGAAGATGGTGAAAACAATTTAAGTCTTGATCATTTTCTTCTTGCCCACCCAATAGGTGCTACCTTAAATCTACCCACCCAAAACCAGTGGTGGTATTCAGCAGGTTCTGACCAGTTCTGGAGAACCAGTAGTGAAAATTTTGAGTAGTTCGGAGAACCAGTAAATACCACCTCTGACTGGCCCCACCCCCATCTATTCTCTGCCTCCTGAGTCCCAGCTGATTGGCTGGGTCTTCTTTTGTTGCCCTGCACAGGAGAACGGAGCTGGAAAGCAGGTTAATGGGGTGGGGAGGGAATAGGATTTTGCAGTGACCTTCCCCTGGGAGTGGGGTGGGAATAGAGATTTAACAGTATCCTTCCCCTGCCATGCCCACCAAGCCACGCCCACAGAACCAGTAGTAAAAAAATTTGAATCCCACCACTGCCCAAAGCCATGAGTACATGCAAACACACACAAACAAGAGAAGCACAGATTTGCATTTGAATTTTCAGAATTATGATGAGAAAATACAATTTCTTCTGCATTTAAATCAATGCTACTAAGGAAGACATGAACACACATACTTAAGAAAGGCCAAGACTCCAGTGGGACTATAACATCATGAGCATCTTCATAGTCATTGCATTTTCTGAAAGCCAAGGCTGACATCAAGAATTTGAAAGGCTTAAGATTTGTAGCTGTATTAACTTCTACCATGATGTAAGATGCATAGCCACTCTATGTCTTATAACCATTAAAAAACCAGATATCAGGTTTTTAAAAATAGATCTTCTGCAGTCTTGTTGAAAGTGAGAGGCCAGTACAGAAGGAGCACAGAGTACAGAAAATTCTATCTCCTGACCAAAATGTCCTCTCTAGAGCTATAGTATTCCCTACTGCTTTCCTGTCGACACATTGTTGTTTGCATAGTACGGAGTCTAGCTCAGAGAAAAATGGTATCAGGGAAATGGGGTGGTTTATTTCCCAGCTCTCATACAATTCTCATGACTGAGGTTTAAACTTATGGTGTCTGATGCTGTGGCATCTAATTTGTTTTTTAAAAGCCGGAATTTAATATCTAAGACTGTGGAAGGAGTACTAACTGGATTCATATGAAACACAGATCAGCCAATCATATCTTTGCCTAGCTTGTTGTACAAACCCAAACCAAGTGGTTAATGTGTGGGTCATGTGTACCCAGGAATTTGGATTAATTGAATAAGTTACCCATAAGAGTGTCTTGCAAACTTAACAGCAGGCAAGAAGGCCAAGGTAGCAAAGAAGCTGGAGCCTGGATCCCAAATTTTTTACCTGATATACCTCTGGATTTGCCATTCCCCCTTCCTCCTAAAGAGTCTCATTTTATCTACTTTAAAGGGGAAAAATCAGAAGAAAAAGTGATTAACAATTAAGCTGAACTTCCCTACCTTTGGGTCTCTCCTTCGGCACCTTCCTGTTCCCCGATTTCACCCTCAAGGTCTCTCAAACATTCTTGCTCATCAGCCATTTTCTTTGCTGGGTTAAGATTGTGGGTTGAGTCACTTTTCTCTCCAAACTGTTTTGTAAGAATGATAAGAGTGCAGTTGTTCCCTCACCACTCTTCCTGTATTGAGTCTAAAGCCAGATGCACCGGAAACCATGTGGGACTGCGGGTGTGAGTTTACTTTTTAATCAGAAAGAATCATTCTTTTTTTTTTTTAAGTCTTAAGAGAAGAAAACTAATCCCTCCACTCCCCCCAAAAAATCTCAAGTACTAATGCAGGCCATAAGGGGAACAAAGCATAATTGCAGCTCACAGAGCAATCTTGGTGTTTAAGTCAAGCTCACAAAAGCGGCAGCACATCTGTACTGGCAACTTTAGATACTTCACATTCTTCTTCCCAGCCTTATCTGTGTTTTGTCTGTGTAAGGATCCTTAGAGCAAATAACAGGGTTGGAAGATTGGGCAGTTGCAACACAACTTCAAGTATCTACAAGCTGCGTATTTGAAGAGGATGGAAGGAACAAGAAATCCACAGTCTTGCAAAAGAAAAAGAAAAAAACCTGACCAGAAGGGCCATGTAGGACAGCAAGAGATATTGTTCAAGTTAATGGGGGGTTAAAGGTTTAATCAGTATTAAGCAACCCTAACTACCTATAATGCATCTAATCACATGAAACAGCCCTTTTCTGCCAATGGGCCAAGTGACTTCCTTAAAAGGACAGATAATTTCAGTGTCCTGATTGGCCAATGCATGGTTAACTGTTTGGTTTTATTTTAGCGATTTTACTTTTAGAAGAAGACGCGGCTGAGACAAGATGTTTCAGAAGATTAAAAATGAAATGAGCATTGTAAAGAGACTATGCTGACTCAGGAGAAGGAACGGAGGACTCCAGAGATGGTATTCAGCAGGTTCTGACCAGTTGTGGAGAACCAGTAGCGCAAATACCACCTCTGACTGGAGATTTTACAGTGTCCTTCCCCTGCCATGCCCTCCAAGCCACGCCTACCAAACCAATAGTTAAAAAAAATTGAATCCCACCACTGGAGGACTCCTATGTAAATCTGTCATTTTCCACCCATTGATCCAGACAGATTTTTTCAGAGAAGAGAGTGAACCAGTTTATGAGAAGAGTGCAAGTTTTATTTTATTACTACTGACCTGGTATCTATAGAACCTTTCACATGTAATCCAGAATGCCACATTCATACATTTCTACGCATTGAAAACATTCAGAGCCCCGAAACAGAACCCCGCCCCCCAAACATCTTCTTATTTCTACTGGGGGGAAAAAGAGCAATTTGAGACCTCCTGGATTCTGATCTCCTATTCATTTTTCTCTAGAACGTACAGTAAATGCATTGCCAGATACTGGTTAGAGTGCAGTACTGCAGGTTACTTCTGCTGACTGCCAGCTGACTGCAATTTGGCAGATCGAATTTCACCAGGGTCAAGGTTGACTCAGCCTTCCATCCTTCTGAGGTTAATAAAATGAGGACCCAGATTATTGGGGACAATAGGCTGACTCTGTAAACTGCTTAGAGAGGGCTGTAAAGCACTATAAAGCAGTATATAAATCAGAGTCCTATTGCTATTTATGCTTGCTCTGTTCTAAACCAATCCTATCTCTCACCTTTGACTACATAGCTAGATAAAGTATGTGATCTGATAAGAAACCTTAGTCTTAATTTAACCCATGAGCAATGGTGTTAAATCTTAGAATGAGTTTTCTTCTTTTCTTTCTCCCCAAGCCACAAGAATTCTGTGCATGTATAATATTAATAAAAGAGAATATCTGTAGGTCAGAGGTGGGGTCTTTCATGCTCTCTGAAATGTTTGTTTGCTTCCAGATTTTCATTACTCAACTAGGTAACATCTTCAGTGCACCATGAAATAAGAAGCAACTCAGCTTAAGAGAACATGGAAGACTCCACATATATAACATTCTTTTCATAGGACTTTGTTCCAAATCTTCTAAAGTGAATTGTAGGCAATAATAAAATTGTTGGTTTTGTTCTTTTTATCAGAAATAAATCCTATTAATAAGTTCAGTGAGGTCTACATCCTTTTGTGAAACTGTGCATAGAATAGCTGTCTTACATTATTAAAAATTATGGCCTTAATACCTTTTATTCTCCTCATGTGAACCTGTACATAGATTGCTTCTGTTTAATTGAAACAAAGCAACAAAAATGTTTTTATACTTTAAACAAATTCTCCAGTTTTTCAAACTAGAATCCTGGTTTGCTCCATAAGTATAGGCATGTCTGTCGAATCATAACAGATTTTCTACCTTTCCCTTACTCTTAGGAATTACTAATCTTTCTGACAAATCTATCCCATTAGGATGTGATATTTGGATCACATGGCTATGGCTGCCATCTTGACTTAACTGTTGAAAACTGTTATTATGTACTGGTAAGCATGACAAAGCAAATTCTCTCAAAAGTTTTTTTTTTCTTTTTTAGCATATCATTGTACAAAAATGTTTCAACCAAGGAATTACATATTCCATGTGAACCTAGGTAGGATGATGCGGAGGGTAGAAACAAAACTTTGCAATATGGAGGAAGCTTGGTCTACAATTAACTTGGATGTAAGAAAATGTAATACCAGTCTTGCTAAGTTAAACTTATAAAATTAAAATGTGAAAAATACATTATTTAGTTTTCTTAAGAGCTTCATGTTCACACCTTCTAATAAATCTGTTTGTATGTTTGGCTTAAAAGGGATGCAAATTGCTTTCATTTTAATATAATAACTTAGCTGATTCTTTTACTGAGGTCATGAGAAATTGAAATATAAATGCAGCTGTGGTATAAAACGCACTTAAACTGAACAGTTTTTAAAGAGATAAAATAGCCTAATTATTTTCTAAAATAGATTTGAAAATCCACCTGGAACACATTAACTGCATTTCTACAACCTTTTACCTGGGAAACCCCATCTGAACTCAACTGAACTTATTTCTGAATAAATATTAGAATTGTCCAGTACAAAATATTTGTCTAATTATACCAAGCCCAGACAAGAACCATTGTTATTAAGACTTTCTGATTGTACTCTGTTGCATAAGCACTGATCAATGCTCTTTCAGTGCTTGCACAAGTGAATGTATGGAGTGTTAATGCAAAATGGTGTAAATGCTTATCTATGTCCCTTAGGTATTTTATAAGCATCTCATCCAAGGTATTCAGGGCTCAGAATGAAAGAAATGTGGTTAGAAGTAGATGGGGGTGGGGAAAATGAAACTGCTGCATAGGAACAGCTTGTACACAGATAGAACTCCCTGGAAGAGGAAATAAGAGCATGAAGCAACCATGCTCACCATTCTACCACTTCCTCTTGATGTCTTCTTTTTTCCTTTGTGTCAATATCTTCCTCATTTTTTTTCTAAGTTCATAGATGAAATAAGGCCTTTAACACACAGCTCGAATGATGCAATTTACAGTACCTCGGGTGGTTTGAAACTGTAAAGCTATGTATTCTTTCTTGAACAAAGTTAGTGAAAAGAGAGAGATTGCCTTTCAGCAAGAATCCTTTAATTAATTAGATTAAGCATTTGAAAAGCTTGGAAAATGTTAAGAAGCCCATATTTTACATGTCTATTGAGAAATCAATTATTCCTGGTTTATTGTACATAGGATTGCAGCCCGAAGCACTGAATAAATGCAGAAATGTTGTATTTTGTTAGCAAGTGGTAACATTTTAAATGATTCTCCACAGCCAAATATTTCTCCAAAACCAATGATCCTCTTGAATCTGCTCATTTATCCCCCGTGTTATGTTATGCTATTTACTTAATTTGTATGTCACCCAATCCAGAAGTCTTTAAATGTCTGTGGAACCTCATGAAAGGGTCTGAAGATGTGAGGTGTGCTTCTAATCCCACCCCTCACCCCCTCCTTGTATGCTATAGTTTTCTTAAACAGGCCATTTCTTGTTTTACAGAAGGATAGCCATAGGCAAAGTCTTTTGATTCAAGCAAACATGGCCATATTGTTTTCTTGACAAGAGCCTAGACAAGAGCAGAAGTGGCTTCTTCTGTTTCATTGCCTTCTTCCAGGACATACCATATCTTTTAAATGTTTCTGTCATGTCTGTAGCTCTGGAATTCTCTGGAGGTCTCTCCCATCTAAGAATTACCCAGACACAAACCAAATTGGCCAGGTGCTGCCACCTGCTGAAGATGGCCCTATTTCTCTATCTCCAAGATATGGAGAATAAGTGGCAAGATTTTGTACAGTGTTGTGATAGATAAATAAATAGCAGTAAAATAAACCTGCAGCACTTACACAGCTTTAAGTGTAATTCCAATTTATGTACCCATCATTAAGAGTTATGTCATAGGGGTTACACACAACCCTTCCCTTTCGAGTATGTACATTTACCATCTGCTTTCCAATTATTTTATTGCAAAGCTTGCTGAACCTCACATTCTTTGTACTTGATAAGAACTTCTGTTTGGCACAAAATGGCTCATTATTCAATGGGAGTCAAAGAAATATTTAGTATAAATCAGTTATGAGTGCCAAAGTCTCACAGTTTGGTACAAATTCCCTGAAAAATCCTTCATTTTAGTTCCTGTTTCACATTCTGGATATATCTTTAGCCATATGTTTTATTAATATTATTATTAGTTAATCTTTAGTGAAATTCACAGCCTTTGGGGCTGGTGGACAGCTCAACAGCTCGAGTCCTAACCAAGGACTTAGGAACTGTTCAGGTAGCGCCAGAAGATATAAGCTGTTCCAAGTAGGGTGGTTTTTTTTGTAAAATCAGGGTATTTAAGTCTGATAAATTCAGTATTTCCAAATAGCAAGGCAGCCCTTTAGGTATTGCTCCAAGGGCTCCAATTACAATTGGGATAACACACAATTTCTTTTTCCAAAGTTGCTCAATTTCAATTTGTAAGTCCCGATACTTTGTAATTTTTTTCTTGCTGCGTGTCTACAATTCATGCATCACCAAGTATTGCAATGTCAATGAACCAAACCCTTTTGTTCTCAATTATTGTTATGTCAGGCATGTTGTGGACCAAATGTCTGTCCATCTGAATTCTGAAGTCCCACAAGATCTTGATTTTTTTCATTCTCCAGAACCTTCTCAA